GTAAGAGGGTGAAGAAGAGAAGGAGACCAAGCCACCATCACGAAAGGTAGTGAAGGAAGAAGAGTAAGAGGCATTACCAACATCAAGAATGAAGGTGACAGAAGGTTTGTAATGTGAGACTGCAGAGTGTGCATCTCAAGAGAAAGTTGCAGGATGAAACGAGAAAATTGGTGGAGAGTGGAGAGGTGTGAGCGGAGTCAGCAGACCAGGCAGCCAGAAATAAAGAGGATAAAAGGCAGCCAATGATGTGGGAATGGTGCACATAATTTTATCTTCAAGTTCACACTGTGTTACAACCCAAAAGACCAACACAAAAATCTTCACCAAACACGGGAACCACAAATCTCGTATAATTTTCAGTTTACTGATGTTTAAAAGCAGTGTACACGTATGACTGTACAATTTCGACAATAATTTAAGGGTAAAATGCTAGTTTCTCTTAAATTACATATATCATGGAATTTAAAGCACTTTATTTGCAAAAGTGATTGTCGTAAGGCATTACTACTAACCTGATTCTACTCATGAAGTCATGGAAATTGTCTAATGTAGTTATATTATAGTTATTTGTCTCCAATGTGACATCAGGATTGATTGAAGAAAGAGTTTTTGCTGCAGCTTCTACCTTTGATAAGCCTTTATGGTGTGGCTGGAAGAAAAGCCTGTTCATGTTGGCAAGTTCCACCGTGTCATAGTCAAACAGTATTAGCTGTAACAAAGCAATTGGCATGTAGTTATTCTCCAAAAAAATGTAACTAATCTTGTACTCCAAGACATACATAACACTTAATTATTGTAAAACCTACATATAATGCAATCCAGAAAGACCTAAAGACATTTCCATTTAAATAAGATATTTACCTCTATTGTTACCAAAATTAAAAATTCCAAAATTCACTACATTTTGGAGACAAGCATTTTATCCAATTTCAGGCCGGACCGAAAGAAGATACATACTCTGTAGGGCAGTTAGATGAAGCTAAAAAAAAGTGTGGCTCCTCCTGCCTTAGCATATTTAAGGAGTTAACTATATGTGCATAACTAACTAACTAACTAGATGGCTTACCGAACCCGAAGGTTCATCACCGAATTAACCAAAGCCCTCCACCAGACCCTGTCCTGGGCCAACAAAATCCAGTCTCCTTCGACTCCTATCTCCCATAGATCCCGCCTGAGATTATCCTCCCATCTACATCTAGGTGTCCCTAGTGGTCTCTTCCCCTCAGGTTTCCCAACCAGTACCTGGTGCACACCTCTTGTCCCATCCATGCGCGCTACATGTCCCGCCCATCTCACTCTTCTCGACTTAATCACCCTCACAATACTGGGGGAGCAGTACAGATTTTTAAGCTCGTCATTGTGCAGTTTTCTCCACGCCCCATCGTCTTCCCTCTTAGGCCCAAATATCCTCCCCAACACCCGATTCTCAAACACCTGCAACCTGTGTTCCTCCCTCTGAGTGAGAGACCATGTTTCGCACCCATACAAAACAGCAGGCAAGATTATTGTTCTGTATACTGCTTTTGATTTTTTAGTGTCAGGTCGTTATCGATACATTTATTCACACTAAACAAAGAATCTTTTTTTTAAAAATTACCAAGGGACAAAAATATTACTAATTAACAAACAAAGTGTCAGAGACTAATTAGATTAGTGTTCTCAAAATGTGATGACAGGCGTTAAATAAGATATTAATGGACGTTATTTGATGTACTGATCCTCATCTGTAGATACAATATGCGAAAATAATAATAAAAACGGACCCAAAATATCGATGCGACCTACTAGATATTACTAAAATTTTCAACTAACATTAATTATGAGAAAGTAATTATCGAAAGTATAACAACATCGCTGAGGTTAGAAATTAATGTTTTTGCAGGCCGTATTTTGTACACTCCTGATAAACTGATTTGTATTCTAGCGCAAAGTTAAAGAGCAAGGGAGACAAAGCATCTCCTTGTTTTAGACCGTTCTTGATGAGGAATGTCTCAGATACATATTTACCTACTCGAATTTTGCTACAGGTTTCATTTAAGCACATTTTTATTAGACTCACTAGCTTCTTTGGTATACCAAATTCAATAAGAATATTATATAACACTTCTCTCTTCACAGAGTCATAGGCTTTTTTGAAATCTATAAATAATTGATGTACGGTCCCACTGAACTCCCATTTTTTCTCTAGTAACTATATGTGCATATGGTATGAGAATCAGAATGATTTTTTGGTGAAATCTTTTTCTAAGCAAATACAGTACTTTTCTTGATCTTGGAGTACTTGAAGGTTAACCTGGTGTTTACTAACCTTCCCTATACCACATCGAGTCAACATCTCAGCAGTAACACTGCCAACTCCACCAACTCCAACTATGGCTACTGTGAAATCTCGAATCTTCTCATAGTTGTCTACAATACCCATTCTTTTCAAGGCCATCAATCGACTGTAAGAACAAAACCAGACTTGAGTAGATAGGTACAAATACATGTAATCTTGAACTCCAATGAGAGCCAAACTCCTTGTGAAGCCAAGTCGATTTATACTGAAGTAGAAAATAAAAATTAGTGGGTCGAATTAGGAAAGCTTACAGTACTATAAAGATGGACCAAAGTAAATATTTAGTACTTTATTTTACAAATTTTAACTTACAGATTTATCACAAGATAAACATGGCTGTCTTCTGGGATGCAGCATCATGTAATCTGGTGGATAGTGACTATAGTATGCACAGTGTCACATCCCAGAAGACAGCCATCTTCATACTAGTCACCAGAAGAACCTAAAATCTCAGTTAACACAACTTTCCCTTTTCGTACCACATGGTGACCTGCTAGGTCAACCACCTCCCCTGTGCAGAAAACTTGGAGACAGAGCTGGAATGAAGTGGAAATAACTTTGAATCGAAATCTAAACTTGCGATTATAGGTTATTTTACTATAACACCAAATTGTGACTAATGTACAAATGGCGAGGAAATTCGCGACAAAACGTGCCACAATGCGCAAATAAAAATTAAAACCAAATGTCATTCTCACCTATATGGATTAGAGTCCACAACTTCAGAAGACATCTGAGCAATTTTTTCCCGAATAGGTCTAGCAGATTCGTGTTTCTGTCTCTCAAGTTCTAACTGTATCTTGAGTTCTTTTAACTTTAACTCCAATTCTTTCGTCGGATCCATTCTGTCACACACAAGAAAAATTCGAACGCAATAGAGTCCAAATCATACACTTCACACAAACATATGTTTGATCCACGTCGGAAACATTTCGTGTTCCTTTCCGGAAGTGGCCGTCCACAATTTCCATTGGCTGCTTATGATGACGTACTTGTCAGAATCGGAAATACTACCAACACTTTTAACTTTTAACTGACTGGACGATAGCAGAGGATTTCTCTTCTAACCTCTGCGTCAAGACCGGTTCTGGGGCCCACCCAGCCTCCTATTCAATGGGTGCCGGTGTCTTTTCTCGACGGCAAGCGCAGCCGGGGCGTGATGGTGGTAATGAGTTATAATTTTGTTCTTTTTTAGAGCCTCTGACATTTCTTTCCTGGATGGCGGTACTCTTCCTTTTGTTACCATGTCCATACCCAGTCTGCCAACCACGGTGATGTGTTGTGCCTATCAGCGTAGACATGATATCCAGGAGGTGGGTTGGCAGCATCTTTCACAAGAGGAGAACACATACTTTATATACTTTCACTCCTAATATCCTAGATAGATGCTATTTCATTATCATGCTTCCTCCTGCCATCTTTCATAAATACAGAAATGCACAGTAAACAAGAGCTTCCTGCAAATTATGAACACTGCCATTTGTTACAATGAGTGGTACTACAAATATTTCCTTTGACCATTAGTCATCTTCCTTGACATACAACTTATGGCTAAGTAAGTTTATTGGAACGTTTTGTATGCTCCGGATATATCCGGTTTCCACTCGGGAATCCAGTAGAGTATGGTGGTTACCTTTATTCATTAACCAGATGAAGAAATCTGTGACTTTCTTCTATCTTGTGATGCATGCCGAATACATTTTCTAAATTCTCTTTGATGTCCACAATTTTTTGCTGTTCCCTGATGTAGCATTGTAGAAACAGTTTAGAATTCAAATGGCTCTGAGTGTCTCACCCATAGTGGGAAATGACAACTCAACTTTTTGTTCCTCTTCCTCCACCTCATCTTCTGCTTCCTTTCTGCCCTTGTTTCTCATTTTTATGGCATTCTCTTCATCAGTTCGTGTCTGGGCCATACCAGTTTGTCTGTGGTTACAGACACATCAGTCATACTTACCCAGAATGCCACAATCAACATTCCTCACTCGCTAGGACAAAGATGGATCATCATCAGTGATGTTGCCTTCCTTCTCAGTGATGTCGACACATTCTTTTACTTGTGATGAAACAGAGCCAGTATGTAAAATAACAATTCTGATTTTACCATTTTACAGGTTGGTATGATGGGACACAAGGTGATGCCTGTTCTACTTGCAAGCTACTGAGATCAGGGCTGGTAGTCAAAAATAAGTTTAAGCTTCCACTTTTATTCCATACACAATTTTACATGCTGTGCCCTGTCTGGTGCAAGCAAGAATATCTATCCATCAAATATTCCTTCACTTTCTTTACATTATACCATTTTGTTGTGAACTAACATTACATTCAAATATAATTACTTTATATCTAAAAAATAGAATTACAGCTCAAGAGACATACAATACTTACAGTATAATAATGCTTATAATTACAATGGCAGTTTCATCTGCTTGATACAGGAAAATCTGTACATCTGTTTACAAAAAGCTACTCAATCTCATTTCTAATGTTTCTGTGTGGGAACTGTGAGTCGAGGCAATTCCACAGCTCTGTCCATTCATGTATTTGAAACCATTTAAAATAACGTACATGTGTGTTCAAGATTTTGGACAATGCCAATACTTAGAACACATGATTGTAGTGCGCAGTCTCCACATATGGAATGACTTATTTCCATTTTCTAACTATAAAACAGGGATGGTGTTCCAGTGAGGCAACATGAAACTTTGTAGTTCTATTACATACAATACTGCTTTCATACAATGATAGGACTAGATATGTAACTTCACTTCATTTTGGTCCCTCCATGTGAATGCCAAAAGAGTCGCTATTATTTATATCTTCCTCGGCTTCGTTCATTCATCAGTTGATGCTACATTACTGTCAGCTGCGTGCCACAGGTCACACGTGGCTATGCAATGCAGTAGCATGCTGCTGAACTGTTAAACCCTACGAATTAAAGACTGGTCAGCAGACCCAAAGCATGAGATTACTATTCTTTACTCCCATTTGATAAAGATTAAGTAACCCGTTAAACTGCAATAAGACTGATAATTTCTATAAATCACATAGTCATATTAATGTAAGAAAGATTACACAAAAAGCCTTTCATGTTACTTAAAGACACTGTATCAATTAAAGTTCTTGTTAATGTTAAATTGGTGGTGATGATTTATGGTGACTGTGAATGGACTGGACAAGAAGTGTCCACCTTGTGTATTTGGCATTCACCCGAAGGTCTAAGGAAAACAAGGAATGGCTGATGCTGATTGAGATTTGAACATGCATTTCTCAAACACAAGCTGAGTTACCACTTCAGCTACCCTGCTTAGATAGACAATATTTCAAACTTCATTAGGATAATACATGACGATGCATTACTCAAACCTTGCAAATAAGAATGAAGTTAATGATTTATGGGTTGCTTTCATGCAATTTCAGGTTGTTGAAAGGGTTACATTTTCTAATTAAATTAATTTAGTGACCAGGCAGCACAGAAAAACATAAATGCATTGGCAATGGAGCAGCTGTGTCATAATGCTGTGATGCCATCACATAACACACATTTCCTCACACATATCTTACACTAATCTGCTTCTCCTTCATAAATAATAATAAAATAGTCTGTCCCCTAAAACAAAGAGGTACAAGTTGAAATATACAAAATTACACAATGGTAGAGCTGGTGCTACAGTAATATTGGAACAAAGAATAATATTAGTGATATACAGACTTGCTTTTACATATAAAACTGTAGCATATAATATTCATAGGGGAGGGTTTTATTTCTTTTATAAATAACTATGTAAATACTATTATATGACTACTTTCTGCAAAGTTGCTGCAAGAAAGGTGTTACTTGACTGCTCTATCTTGAATCCCTGATATGTAAGTCACAGTCCACAGTGCAGTTGCTGGGGAACAATATTTTGTTTTTCTTTATGGTATGAGTTCTGAATCTACCAAATGACAACATGTTCTCACTTTGCTACATGCTCAGTGTAATTGGTTCTTGAATAAATTATGTTTTTAAATGTCTCTGCAAGTCCTATGTCAAGACAATAGATCTGTGAATACTGTGTCATGTACAACAGAACACATAACATAAGAATAACTTTGTCCGGCATTGCAGTAAAACATTAAGAAGATTAGCTCAAAGGAGAATTGGATGAAACTTGACTCCTTTCTTTCTTGCTATGTCCATATGTATCCCAATACATCACATTTCTCAAAGTACGAGAACATTTACTAAGCTGGAAGATATTTAAGAATTATTATCATTATGTTAATTGGCTATGCTCAGCTTATCGAAAATATGTCACTGTTCTGTACCATGTTAATGCAATGTTACAATTTCAGTTGGGTTTAATTTTTTTTGCAAGTTTTCAGTTGTGCTGAAATGAACACCACATAAAAAATGTAAATAAAACTAGAACTACTTCTGGGATTCCACGTAATATGCGTGCGAGAACATTTCAGCCTCCCACTTCCTGTAGTTACAAGAATTAAAAATGTATCACAAGATTACTCCAGAACAGTCCAGTAATCATCCCTTGCTGCAGTTACTTGAAAATAATGAAGCATAAATGCAGATCTCGTTGGGTGAATCTGGTTTCTACTGTTGGTGCTTAAATTCCTGACTGCCCTATGTTCCACTTGTTATTGTTCTCGGTTATAAACATGTAGTATTTGCTGTGTAAACCACAAACTATTTTATAATTCAGTTCTTGTTACAAATTTAAAAAAAAAATTGTCTTGTCAGATATTTCTTCATGAAACATATCATAGATGCCATTTACAAGTGATGATGAAATAATAATAATAATTGATTGACTTTCCAGAAATGTGTCGGTACTGTCAGGATATTTATTATTATCATTAAGTCTTCCAATTGTTCAGTTATACTTGCATAATATGGATGAAAGTCAAATTTTCCAAATGCTTAATTATAACGCCCATTCACAGTGCCTAAAAAATTCCAACCACAAACTCACACACTTGTTCTGCAAAGAGTCCCATTTTCCAGTCCCACTTCCACTTCCAGTTCATGTCAGAAATTAATGTGAAAATAGAAAAAGAATTTTGTATATGTGACAAATTTAATTGCATATGAATTTGATATGCAATCAGAATTTTGGAGATGATCTGCTGGTAGCCCAAATGGCCACTGCAGCTCACTGCTTACATGGATCATCAGTCAGTCGCTGGTCAGCACCCACAATTTGTAATGAAATGGAATACTTTTAAGCTTGATGCACTGGAAGCGTAGCACCAACAGTAGAATTTCCAGTGTGTGATTGATGTGTGAATGGGAACCAGGTACTAGACTGCTGTCAGTGATCAGTTGAACTGATCCCTGTTTATTATATAACGTACACTGCTTAGTTTATGACTGATGCCTTCCCTCATTGTGAGTCTGAAGGCATTGGTAACATATACATACAAGTTGCGAGTGTATCAGTCGGCTTGCTCCTCCCATCCTGATGAAGAGCTACTGCCAAAATGAAAGGTGTTTTTAAATGTGATGGCAGAACTCCACAGAAACAGGGTATCATTGAAATTTATGATATTTCAGTTTCAAGGAAATCTGCATCTAAATGCTGTGCTATTGGCAGCTTTTTAAGTTTGTAAAAATGTGCAGAACATTTAGTTTCTTTCTGCAACAAGGCCTCAGTACTAGTGAAGGAAAGGCAATTTTTAACTTGGAAGTCCAACAGCGGATATTTCTGTGATAATTTTATGTTTAATTTAAAACATGAGTGAAATGTATTCAGTGCCATGAAATAAAACTTTATGTTTATAGCTTACCATATAAAAATATGTACAAAGGCTACATATGTACACCACTAACAAATATTAAAATTTGTCTGCAATGCTTTCTAAACGCAAACACATACAGAGTATTTCTGAATTACATGCTGCCACTTCTGGAGCATTTTCTATGCACAAAAACAAATAATTATTGTAAACAGGAATCCTTCAATGCTTCAGTTATGACCCATTTTATTTTGGAAGGAGAAGAATAAAAATAAAGTATAAACCCATCCAGGAGAAAGTGTTAATTTATAATTTGCTGGTTGCAACTTACAGATAACTGCTTTGACAACAAATTTACAAAAAATGACTTAAGTGTGTTGTTCTTGCGCTTCCACACTGCTGCTCATCACACGCACTAAAAAGTTCCAGATGCATTATAAATAAACTCATATTTATCTATTACCACTGTTGTAGTTCTACCACATCATTGACTTTCATTGCATATGCCTGGAATTTCTAAGTATGTGAAGCAAACTTTAATGAAATGTGCAGAGACTGCGTGAAAGCACAAGGACGACACTTTGTGACGTCCTGGTAGAGTCTTAAAAACCAGCAATTTTCAAATACTCTCATGTGGATGGGTTTGCACTTCATTTTTCACCCCTCTTCCAAAATAAAATGGGCCATAACTAAAAGACAAAGCACCCAAAGACCCCCATTTACATAGACTTTCATAATTTTCTGCATAGAACATGCCTCTAAAGTGGTGTGTGTATCAATACTGACATTTAGTTTGGTTAACTCTATGTATCCACATTACTTCTGAGCCAGATATCATGAAGGTTGCCACTGAAGATGGTCTGATGGGACCAAAATGCGTATGGTGCAATTAACGTAGCTTAAACCATTGTATAACTGGTGTTGGTTGATTATTGTCAAATATTACTACATGAATATGATAGGCTTTCACACTGAAAATGACTTCTTGATATGAGAGAGTTTAATTTAATAAATGAATGTAATGAATAGCACGCAATCCCAACTACCCTTCATCAAACAGAAGAGTAGAGCACATTTGTTCTTAAAACAATTCTGGAATCTCAAGTGAGAACTTAGTCAGTACTCTTTTATGATACAGGAGGACGGAATCAGAGAATAAAATGTAGTTTTTCATGAGTAGGATAGCACTTCCAGAATACATAACCATTTACCTTATTTGTCAATTTTCTTGGTGTTCTGAATTTTTTGTTTCAGCTCTGTTTCTTATTTCAAAAGATATTTCATTTTGAGCTTTGATCATCAGGATGAGAGCAGTGTATCAACATTCAAGCCGTGTGCTAGGAAGGAGCGATGCCACCTCCATGTTTGCCAGAGTTATTATCTGAGGATGAGTCATGCTCTGAGCCTGAGCTAGAATCCCTGCGGAGACTTGAATGACTTTTGTTGCTGCAACTGCTGCTTCCCAAGTCATGTTCCACCGTTCCTATAATAAATGTAATATTTCATAACAGAGTTACCTATAAATAAAATTTACATCACAAGTTTCTAAATCCACTGTACTTTTCTGCCAAAATCATATTTAACAACAATCACAGTAATTATTATCATTATCATCATCATCAACACTACAACCACCACCATCACCACTACTATTAATGATGATGTTTTGGATATTGCATCTGTCCATTTCAATGCTTCCATCTCCAAATAAAGAGTTGAGGATATTTAATGTAGATTCCAATCAGGAAATGTAAATCAACTGTAAGTGAGGCATGTAAGCAAAATAAATAAATATCAGGCCAAATTCGTTTGGAAAATATGCGAACTGTACTGAATCACACATTTACACACTTGTTAGTTTCAAGACAATACTGAACACCTCTAATGACATGTGAGCAAGCATTGTGGAGCACGTAAGGTGCTCTGGCATGAAACTGCACCACCGCTGTGGATCTACAATCTGTGTGTCTCTTACCTGGCAGTGGTGTATGCACTTCAACCTTGACATGAGCAGTAGCAGTAACTTTCGTAGTGACATGCGACTGAGACCCTGACATGGGGGAAGCAGATGTCGAGGCATGACTGGTGCCACTGCCACCAGTGCTTGCATTCTAGAAATAATACATAATATAAGACATCCATTTACTGAACTATACTGATGCCCCCCTCCTAGCATTTTCTTACAGTTAAATCAATGTTGTCAAAACTGGATGGGCAGGAAAGTAAGGCAAATAATAAAGAAATGGGTTTTGGTGGGGAAGCCTCTTGGAAAGCGATCACTGTCTCCTGAATGCTATCAGTAATGCCAGCAATCTCATCCACTATTCTGCTACATCGTAAGTGATCTTCTTAGTATGAGACTGGCAGAGGAAAACCAAAGCACTGGGGGAAAACTTTCCCAAGTGTCACTTTTTCCACCACATGTCCCGAGTGGGCTGCCTAAGAGTGAACCCAAGCCTCTGCAGTGAGAAGCTGGTGACCAACGGCATCACTAAATTAAGGAAATTGCTTCTCGTGGTATTGTTAGGTCATAAGTACAACAGCTCAAATGGGAGAAACACAAATTTTAACCTCTTGGAAAGCAAGCACTTGAAACACCAAGATGGGGATATAAGGATAACACTAAAATTGATTTAATGAAATAACAGTGGAATAGCTCAGCCAGTAGAATTACTGGCTATGGACTGGACCTCCTAGGGTCAATTCCCACCAAGGGCAGGAACCTTTCTCTCTGCTACCACACCCAGTCAAGCTCTGTGAACCCAAGGGTAAAGTAATTTGAGCAAGAACCTGACAATTGAGATTCATCTAGTAAGACTGCATTAAAGCTTTATATCCAAGCCCCTTATATGCTTATATTCTTAGGTCCAGGAGGCAACTTAGGTGAACAGGTTCTGATGGAATGGATTGAACTGAGCTGTTTTTAAACACCGTATTTTTAGTGTTAATGCCAGAGAATTAGTTGCATGCATGTGAACATTCTCACCTGTGGAGTACCATATGTTGTGGTCTCTACCACCACCTCTGGCTGTACAACAATCTCATGTGTTGAGTGCCATGAATTAGCTTCTTCTGTTATTGTTGTGAGGGATGGTTCTGCATGTAGACGGTTGCACTGGATGCCACTATGACCTCTTCTAGGTGGAGGGGGAGCTTTGCCCACCCGGCATGACCCCACCCTTGCCTGCACTGGTGAGGGTGGTGGTGAAGGTGTTGATATGCGATCCGGGAACTCATATGGAATTACCTGAGGAAAAGGTGAAATTAATTTACATGATGCTTTATGTGAATATCGAGAAGTATAACTGCTAAAGATAAAGTCTGATGTAAAGATAAAATTAAAATGTATTTCAAGGAATTAGATTTTGGTAATGTGAAATGGAATGAGCTTCTTCAGGGTTATGTCCAGTAATGGGCTTTTGTGTTAATTCTGTGGGTTCTCACACCAGTAAATTGGTTACTTTGGACACTTGTCAAAAAGTATTACATATTATGAAATTCATTGCTGTTAACTATTAACATACACAAAATCGGAATTACAGTTCTGGTACCTTGTGGTTGCCAGCCAGATTTAATAGTTTAGTCATACTAGTGGTATGCTGGCGCAACACGTGATTAGCTATGACACACTGCTAGTAAAGGTTGATATACTTCTTTATGGGAACATATTTTGGATGCATTTCATTGTCTGAGGTATATTTAATGTGCATTATGTTTTGGGAGTTTACTGTATTCCCATCTTCAGGTAATTGGTTGTCATTATACTGATACATTATTATACTTATTGTTGTCAGTGATGATGGTTGGGATCAAACCAAATACCTTTCAAATACAAGTTTGTTTGCCAACCACTCGACAACTGGGATAGCCCAGAAATGGTTGTAGTTATAACTCTACTTACATTACACAACCAGTTTTCCCATTTTGTATTAGAGGGAACCATACGAACTTTCTTCCTAGGTAGTTCTTTGTTTCCTGGATTCCATTCTTGGGTTTAGTCTTCATAAATACACTCTGATGTGTAGTTCATGACCTTACTGAATATGTTTTACAATTCTTTTCTGATTCTGCAATATCCCCCAGATGTAAGGTACTACCATGGTCTCTTCTTTTATTTCCTGATTACTGGGGCAGTGCTTCTGGGTTTGGCTGAGGACTTCATTTATGAATTGTGTTTGGTATTCATTTCCTGCTTCTTCCCTTTTCAATGTCTCTTTGTCTGTGCACACAGCTTTTGCTCTGTTCTGCAGACATTTAGCAATTCCTTGCTGGGTACTGACTGGGTAACTGGAGGTGTCATGTAGGTATTGCACAGTGAGAATGTTTTTCTGTATACGCTTGTCTTGATGATGTTACTGCTCTAGCACATAACAGAATGGCAGAGTTTTGAGTTCTCTTTCTACAGTAAACATGGGTAGGTCGAAAATGTGTTCAGTTTAGATTCTCCATGTGGCCATAATGTGAATGTGTATTTCAGCCAAGTACTCTTCTGATCAACTCTCGAAGCACCACGTATATCTAATATATGTCAGAAAATGGACCGTGTCCAACATAATGTTCCTACAATGAATCAACCATCGTCACAAACCTTCAGAAAATTATTAACACAACTTTAATGAATCCTCCAGTTATAGTTAAACATATAGCAAGATAATATTTAAATACTATAAATAATGAGGCTTCTTGTTCATGCAAATCCAATGCACAATAATTGTAACTCTAAATATAGTTTCTCAACAATCCTGTATCAACTACAATGATTATATAGTACTGATGGAATGATTGTGAATTCTGAACTGGAAAGGATGTGGGACAAGGCAGTCTCAGTTATGGCCAACTTCAACCTTGCAGATGTTGATAGTATGTTTGTTTGAAGCATTGGTACCTAACGAGTCCACACAGCAACAAGTCCCAGAAGATCATCATTCTCACCAAAATAAGAATCTAAAATCTCTTAGCCATGGACCATTTTAAGGTAATGTTACATTTTCCTGGCGACACTAAACACAGCCACAAATACCGTCACTCAATATAGCTAGTTGCCTGGGCAGGAATCAAACCAATGACCACTAAAATATGAAGCAGTAATGCCAATCTCAACACAGTTCCATGTTCCCAATAATGGACTCCCCCAGTAGGACTGGCCTGCTCTCATTTTGTAAATAAGTACGGATGAGAGAGTATACCAATCATTTATACAAAATATGATTCAATATATTAGCCTTTAAAATGGTGTTTACGCCATTTACGTTAATACGCCAGGGTACTGGCAAGGCAACCACTTAAAGGAGCGACTGCTTCAGTTATTCTTCAACAATGCTCCCCAGTAATGTTGGGGCCTCTTTCCCGGGTAAAGGAGGGATGGATGAGGTGTCTTGGGAAAGGAGACATTCACTTGGGGAATTATAGTACAGGACAAGGGAAGTGGCTAGATGCCTGATAATTTAGTTGATGATTGGATCAAAATTAAAAAGAAAACATAATATTCCATATATATAAGCTGCACTTTTATTTTGGACAGCGAATTTTTCTTAAAGAAGTGTGGCTTATACATTCTGAAATACAGTAATCATTAAATGAAAACAATTCAGACAATGGGATTCAAGCTCATAAATGTAATCTTCATTTCAACGCTTGCCTTTGCAACTTATGTATGAGGTAACATGGCCAAAAGTTGAAATATAGCCTTCAGCTCTGCCTTTCTGTCAGAATTCATCATACAAGTAAGAGAAGTCCTTAACATAATTTTCGTTTTCCTTAAAATTAGGCAGACATTGGTGCCCTTATTTAATAGGCATCTCACATACATACTATAATTTTCAGTGTTACCAGCATTAATTTTGATAAAAAGCCAAAAATGTGTTTTAGTTTTACTTTCCACTTTTTACATGCATCACTAATGAATTTAATTATAGCAAATGATGACAAAAAATTTGCTCACCTCAGCAGCGGGTCCTATTAAAGACAGCAACACTGGGAAGAAGACTAGTCCAGTAATGAGACCCACCACTACTAGGGCCAGCAACACATAGAAGAAATACCTGAAATGACGGACCGCAACAAACATGAATAAGACATCTTGATCCAACAGATTATTTACAACACAATGCTTTTATTTCAGTCCATGTAACAATTAATACTTTGTTACAAGCACATTTTTATTTTGACATGTGATGTATTCTTCACTCTCTTCATGTAATGAATATAAATATTAGACAGCATTATTAGTTTTAATTGAATGATCCCTAGAAGCTGGAGCTCATTTAAATAATATTACTGCCCAGCCCTCGTAATTCTAGCGCTTTCGACTCGCATGGCATATTCATCACCCTGATGACGGAGGCAGCAAGGACCCCTGAAACGTCGGTAAATTTCTACCACACTACATGGTGCAATATTCCCAGAACACAGCAGTCTTCACACTACCTTCTGTTTACAGATGGGCAAATCAATGATCTACTTTAAACAATCTTTAAAAACCATATTGCATTTTATATACTATGTTAAGAAATTAGTTTTAAGAATAAGTAGTGCTAGAGCAAAGTCACTGACCAGCAGTATAGGCCTCCTTGATTCATGAGACTGAAGACATGTCCGTTGATTTTAACCAAAACTGGACTAAAGATGCACTGTATTAGGTAACATTTCAACTTTACATTTGAGAGGCCCCTAATTTGAATTTTACTCCTGCATATGTTTCTCTTATGAAAATAATGACAGCCCACTTGTCAGAACAAGAGACTGAAGATGACACCCATATGAGATTTCAACAAGATTAATAATATCTCATGCTACAGTGGTTTGTCTTCATCAGGTTACAGGAAGCAAACTTTGTGGTGGAACAGTTTAAAAGATCTGCCAGCAGTGCACATTAGTAATATTATCTTACCTTACAATGAAGTCAAACTCTGAGAAGGCCAGCATGATGATACCAAGGAGCGTGGTGAGGGCTCCGTGAGTCACAGGGGCAAACATATGCTCCAGAGCGAGATGAGTCCTCCGATCTCTACATCCTATACTGGTCACAAACCCCTGAAACAATATTAATTATCTGTTTACAAGCAGATGGTTATTCTTTTGAAAGCAAATTCAGTTCTGTGTGATGATATGATGTGATTATTGGAGTTCTTCATTATGTCAAACCCAACTCAACTTCTCTCCTCTAGCCATTGTAACAGTAACAGGCGACACACAGGAGCTATCTGATAAAATGACACATCTGTATCTCAGCTGCTAATTTCATAAAAAGTGACAAAGCTTAGAAACAATAGTGTTGTTGTATGATTCAGCTAGCTGTTAGGTTTCTTCGCTTACCAAGCAGATGTGGATTGTGAAATGAACGCCAATGCCCACAGCGACGATGAGAAGGACCGCAGGCACTGCACTGAGCTTGATCCCAAGTACTCCCATGACTCCCAGCAGCTGAATAACCATGGCCGCCAGGGCCAACACCACCAGAGTAGCGGCCCACAAGTTGAGCAACAGCACGGATACAACCAGGAAGACGGCGGACAAAGCGCAGAGCAAAGCCAACCCCAACGATTGACGCAGCCCCAAGTACTGTTCCCAGAAGAGGAATGGAATGCCCGAAGGGAAATTTGGGAGCCCGCGCTCCTCAAATTTCTGGCACAGAGACCGCACCTGCAGATGGCATAAAGTTGTGATATTTTAAATTTCCATTTTAATGAAGTGTACATAAAAATATTTTTTTATTTTTACAAGCATGTTTATCAGTGCTATATAACCTATGCATCTGATGAACTGTCATTAAATAAATCAATAAATAAGGGTTCTTAAATTTTAAACTCTAAAGATGCATTCTTATCCTGCGTATCAGATAGAGGTATGAGGTCATCCTCATGCTGAGGAAATCTTACCCACATGCAATAAGAGCTTCCCAGTAGCTCGTGGGCTCCACAGACTGAACTTGGTGATGAAGAAATAAATGTAGCCTCTATCAGAAAATAGACACTGGTCGTCGAGGCTGGAACTACTTATATTTCTGATTTAACTGTTCCCATGTTGCAATTCTTTCATAAACAAGAATTCTAACTTTGTATGCTATTTGTCTTCTAGCTTTCAGTGAAAAGCCACAAAAAGCATGAAGCGAGAAAATATGGCAGTTTCTCTTCACTGAGACTGCCATATATCAGTCATTCAGAGCCACTGTGGCATTTTGTTTATACAATGAGAGGACTGAAAAATTCCTCTTGTAACAATACTAAATAATTCTGTAATATGGAATTCAAAATAATATACATAAGAAACCTCAAAACTGGCAAATTGCTACTTTATTTCTGAGCAGTACACCACAGTCTTCCGTAGGGTGGCCACACATGCTACGGCTTACCAAAAGGCTTATGTCTCTGAAGGTAAACCTTTTGGCAAACCGGAGCATGAGGTGAATTTGGCCCGAAACCGAGCCTCCGATAAATCTGCAGTCACTTGATTTTTTGCCTTGAGTAATGAATGTTTACAAGTCGTAACGTGTGTGGGCATAGACGATGGTAAAGGCAAGGCTTGTAGCATTTACTCATCTCAACCAGCCACCAAGAACTTCAAATCCTTGTATTTTAACTAGGTTAAACTAAGTTTAACAGTTCCAAATATGTGTCCTCATCCATTCGCAAGTTGTTATGCCAGTCCGTCAATTCTAATCAAATTTCATTCAACAAATTTATGTGAGAATGTTTTGATCCATCTAACCAACTTCTGACCCACTCAGAATGTGTCAACTTTCGTTTATTTTTCAACATTAAAGTAACAGCAAGACCGATTAAAATCACATCGTCTTCACTGAACATGTTGTAGCATCGACTGAAGAATGAGAAGACTGAGCACAAACCTGCCACAAAGTCTGTACGTGTGTGGACTCTCAGAGGTTTGAGGCTTACCTTCCGACTTTAATTTGGAAGGCAGGCCTTCCGATATGCCATAGCAAGTGTGGCCACCCTTACAGAGGGCAGTAAAAATCTGTCTATCATTCCATACAATATGACTTAGATCACTCTGTTTCTGACAGTCTGGGGTTCAGTAGCTATAAGTTGGTGTTCCTCATTGTGACCAACTAGTTCACAATATTGGTATGTGGGTTAGCTATAAATCCTCTGCGAAATTATATGAAGCCTTTTTATTACTACAGACAAATGAAAATTTGAAGTGACCAAAGGTTTGTCAAATGAAGTTATCTTTTTCACTTTAAAGATTAGACAGTGGGTCGATTCTTGTCACATACCTGAGCTATGAGGTGTGTGATATGCTGTGTCTCTCCCAAACCATGCAAGTAGAATGGCAACTGTGTGTATACCAGAGGAGCAGACTTGGGAATTTTCAGTTCAAAGTCTTCTGCAGCATGATACCAAGGTCGTGGCTCTGGGCGCAGATTTGCCCGTGATGCTCCATATGCCAAGGCATCGTTTGATGCCCAAGCACTGAGGTAGTTATAAAACGCCTTTGGATTAATGATTCCATCTCCATCCACCAGGCGAACCTGACAAATAAAATAAACCTGCTGTGATGACTGTGTTTACCCACCCTCACATAGCACCTGAAGTCATGAGTTGGAGTTCTGAAAATTTTCCACACTATAAACTGCTAGACTGTTACCTGAGTAATGAGTGACTTGTCAATGGGGTTATCAACATGCCCAGTCTGAACCAGCAGCTTGTAGGCAAGAATTCCCTCATCTGACGCATTAGGAAACCATCGTTCCTGAGTTATGCTTCCCCGAGACCAGTCTCGGTCAAATGCCTTTTGCAGTCCTGTTGGGAAATAAATGTAAAAACAATAGTACAGTTACATAACTGAAAAGTAGGAAGTAGTAGGAACACTCTTCATGACAAAATGTCTGCGTGTGATAATGTATTCCTATGTCTTTACACCACTAGTCCGAAGATTTTTCTTTACCTATCAGCCAGTCCCTGTAAAGGCTTAGCCAGAATTCTGGAAGGCCTCCATCATCATTCTTGATGATATTTGGGACACGCATAAATGCTTCATGATATTCATAGAGTAACTTCTGATTGGTGGGGTACTCAAAGTCCCCCTCCGTCACAGCATACATGTTGTAGAATCCAAAATATTGGCCCTGTGCACTCAGGAATGCATGCTCATCTGTGTTCTGTGGAACTATGTCAGTAAGGTCAAGACCATCTGTAACTTTTGTGATTCCCCACACACTTCCTGCCAATATCACAACCAGAATCACCATGGAAACCACCTGCAAGTAAGACCAACAGATAATGTACCAGTGTTACTATCCTTCTGGAGTTAGGTCTCATAAAAGTACACATCACATTAATGAGATACAGATTCGAGAAAAACAAGTTATGAACTTGTTATTTAGAAAGGGTCCAATAAGAGTTCTGTAAGAAGAAGTTCCTAAACTATGTATCCTGCAAGGACTGTTTCATGGCGTTAGTTAAGTCTGTAACCAAATAAAGCCTAGCAGTACCGAGATGTACCACCTGCTTTAACAGCCAGTAACACTGCATTTTGTATTTATGATTCTTACACGATTCTCACTTTGTAAACAGAGATTATTTCCTTAAACAGCATTAACAAATTGATTTTTGTTACACTAAAGTGTTGTGTTTTCTTTGGGTGTGGCCTGAATTCTTAAAAATCATTTAGACAGGAAACAGCTTAAGAATTAAGAGACACCAAGCGCTACAATATCTATCTTAGGAATGTCTCTTGCCCATTTATCTGGAAGGAATTAAATGTATCATATTTTGTTTCTTTGCCTCCTTTACTCCAGACATTCATATTTTAACAACTAACTAACTGAGCTGCAGTAATGGAACCAGAAAGCATTATGGAGATTTATGAGCACAGTGGCTATTTATATAAAACTATTATTCTTGCACATTCTATGCAGTATTAACAATTGGAAAAATATGAGTTATAAATTATGAAGAATTTGATAAATATGAAGCCGTACATTATGTGCCTCAGTTTATAAACTCATATATGCTTTAACATGTTCGCTGTCAGGAATTCTGCCTCTGGCTTATCACTTAGCCCAGCCGTACACTAACTTTCTGCAGTACTCCATGCTAAACGATCTAGCCACTGTACGTCAAAATATTCACACAGGTCGCCGCATCCACTGTCTAGTGACAGATGTACAGGATGGTATTGTTAATCAGATTTTAAAAAGGAAAGCCTATAAGATGCACTTATTTTAATATTGCAAAATAAAATTTGTTTATGTATTCTAAATAATGTAATGACTATGCTGGATTTAGATGTACTAGCTCACATGTAAGTACAGTATGACAGATATTGATAAATTAATGCATATTGGACTGTAAGAAGCATGTTTTACAATAAAAATTCCAGAATTTACTTTCTTAGTTCCAAACTCTACATAGCTCCTCACACAAGAAAGATAAGTTCCATGGTGCTTTAATGTGTTTCTACTTCCACATTAAACTTTGTTTTTTCCAAAAAAAGACCATTCTTTGTTAACTGAATGTAAGATAAGAAAATAGATGAATGTTATTGATGCATACATACTTTCACAGGAGATTTTGTAATGAGAGGTGCATAGTGTGTAGCTGCTAGCTTTCTGAGGGACCAGCTCCAACATTCATGCATAATATGATGCCCACCACAACCTCCAACTGCCCCTTGTCCCCTTTCATTGTCGACAGTCAGCAGCTCTCTTGTAGACCCCACCCAACATTCCTGTAACAGCATTGGATGACATTTATGATCGGCTCTGCACTGCTTTCTATTATTATATTTTCCCATAGTACAGGTCTATATACACTTGTAGGATCTGAGGTTTTCACGGCGGTGAGTCTGTAGATGGCTGTCTTCTGGGTTGTTGCGCCATGTAGTCTGCCAGAAGTTTGCAGATGTTTCAGAGGTCCTTGCTGCCTCCATCATCCCCCTGATGATGGAGGCAGTAACAACCTCTGAAATTTGGCAAACTTCTACTGGACTACATGGTGAAACAATGCAGAAGACAGCCATCTTCTAAACACTCTTTTTAGTTGTTTTTTATTCTTGCATAATTTAGCCCTTTCGATGCCATAATATTTTAACCCCATATTTCAATGTACAGTAAACTCCTGATTATCCAGGCCAATGAAGGGGACAAGATGCATGAATAATCAAATATGCAAGACGGGAATAATTTGCCTCATGCATACACAAGATGTCACATATTAATTTATATTTTCTTTACAGAACTGATGCTTATTTTGAGAAATAGTAAATAATGTTTGCTGGGTTTTGTGAACTGTTTAGACTCCTCCTCATGACAGAATTAAAATTTTCCTCCTGACTGTAAGGTCACTGTCTTTGGTCCCTCTGACCCATGTAGTCTAGCATAGTCAACCATCACACTGCAGTGCAATGCCATGACTGATGCATTCACTACTTTTCTCCTCTTTTACACTCTCATTCTCTCCACCCTCTTATTCTCCCTTTCATTTGCAGCAGCATTAGCAATGTCCATGTCTTATCACGTGCTGGGAGCCCAGTTCACACACATCACTTTACAGCCACTCTTCAACATTATCTTCATCAACATTTTAGAAACTTCTCAAACCAAATACCATGTCAAGAATTTTGGACGTGCAGCATAATGTCCACTGGCTGAAGTCCTACTTGTGGTTTTCATTGTTGATCTACAGTGAGCTGCGACGTTGGAATTCACAGTGATCCATACACGGATAACGAGCGCAACCGCAGCTCACTGTAGACCAACAACGAAAACCACAAGTAAGACTTCGGCCAGTGGACATTATGCTGTTGAGTGACTCAATTTAGATAATACACCAATTCATGCGCAATATAAACATTGTGGTGCTACATAATGTGTGGTTTTATAAAAAATGAGTTTTTATGCACAGCTTTATAACAATGACTGATTTATGAATTGCATGATTTTAATAGACAGATTAATGGACTGAATTAACATGCTTTCGCCACTGATGATGCCCTATGAGGTCAAAACGCATTTGGCACAAAGAGTTTTTAAAGTATAAACAGTTCTGTTTTTATGCATAATTTATACTTTAGATATTCAAATAAAACTATAAATTTTCTACAATAAAATTTGTGGTTCTCGTGGCAGTGAGGATGATGATGATGTTCTGAGTTTTGATGCTCAAACGTAAATACCAACATTTTTGAGAAAAATAGCGTCTCCATCTTCAACCGTGAAGATGGATACAGTGGGCTTCTGTGAAATTCTGGTATCTACTGAAACGTCTAAATGGGGTCAAAACCCAGATGAACAACATCATCTTTCTCAAATAAGACCTGTAACGTTTGCTTGAAATATTTTCCGATATACTGAATATTTGAAGAAATACTGTACAAGTAAGAATATTTTGTGACACTATGCAGTATGAAATGTATAATCTGATTAGGTTTCAAATAATAATTTTGAATCTTCAACAGGTGATTTGTATCTGCATTAAATGAACATCAGAGTTAATTTGCAGAGAACATATATGGAAAACATTTACATTCACAGCAGTCAAGGACTCTGTGGGTGCTACCTGTGGGGCCAGAACAGTGACTGTCTGCTGTCTGTCAGGAGGCAGAGCTCTTGTTATGGCTTGAAGTTTCTTGGCTGGTTCCGGCATGACTTGCCCTCTCCGTCTGTGAGCGACAGGCACGAGATGGCCAGAAGGAACGTGGGGCAGAGTGCAGCAAGGCCATTCTGAGCCTGTGGGACCACCAGGCAAGCAGCAGCAGAGTAGGTCGACACGCCCCGAGTGCCGCCGTCGCAGATCAAGGCTGACAACAGCCGGGAAAACAAGTAATGTGCAGCCAAGGTTGAACAGCACCAGAACTGCTGCCTGCGGCCAACAAGACAACATCTTTATGAATTCAGTTCACAGGAATTATGATGAGCACTTGTGCCACAGTGGGCAGATAGGACAATCACAGTGCAAGCAACTGTTTCAACATAATTACGTTGGGCATGGTGAAGATTCTGTGGAATTTTTCATAAACAGTGTTTTGGGAGCTGACTATACTGCTTGATTGACTGTAATTTTTCCAACAAATACTCTTAGATTTTCAGTGGTTAGCATACAGGTTTGGTATTCAGAGTTGACAGCTCGATCACAGCGAGTGTCATCTATCTCAAAAGTAACAAGACTTGAAAGGTGTAATCCATACTTGAATACACATGGCTGCCACATGTTTTCTTTGTAAATTCTGAATTCTGAAAGCTCCTAGGTGAAATATTGTCCACGTAAGTGGAGAAACAGACTGCAGGCAACTCACCAAAATGCAAAAACATTAATTTAAAATGTTTTCACTCTCCTCTCCTGATTCAACTGTTTATCCAAAGTGACTTAAGAAGACAGTGTACATTCTGAGGGTGCTGATTTTATATTAAAAACTGATTGATATGTTGTAATCTGTTAATTTTAAGGAAAAGGTCTTCTTAAAAGACTATGTCAGTTATCTTACTTACACAAATTTAGTTTCTAACTGCACATGTCATTTATTCTTAATGTCTTAATTTCAGTGTCGTAAACCAAGAACAATGTAACATTACACAAATCAGCTCTGAGGCAGAAACAGCTGACCAACAGGGTGAGATCAGTGAAGGTACCTGATGGATGACATATGGAATTGAGGAGAGAAAATTTGCTAGAATTGGGGTGCATACAAAACTGCTGTCAGAAAACCTGAAATTGAGAAACCAGTTTTTGAAACCTTGGTACACATAATACTGACATTCATTTGAGGAAACAGGGTGTGAGGCATGACTGAAATTAGGTTCATAAGAGACTGGGAACTTCTTAACTAGCCATGTGCAATCAGCTTCTCAAGAAGGCAAATGTTCCATAGTATTAGTTGGTCATTATAACAACTAACTATGGAACTGCATAAGCTCTCAAATTTTCACATACACCTCAGACAATGGGTAAAGTAAACTTCTACCAGACTATACATCACTACAATCCAGAAGACAGCCATCTTCTTACTCACCACCATGCGAACCTCAAACCATACTTTGAGAACAATGTTTGTTGTAATGTAAGTGGAATTAAATTTAGTTATTGTCTTCTTGCTTGAAGTACTGAATGTCCCATGTACTCACAGTGTGCATACACTACTGATGTCTTAAGATTATGGTCTTCTGGGTTGTTGTGCCGTGCAGTCTGGTAGATGTCCACCAACATTTCAGAGGTCATGCTGCCTCCATCATCAGGGCAATGAATGACTACACGGTACAACAACCCAGAAGACAGCCATATTCAGCATCACCACTGTCAAAATCTCAAATCCTACATAAAGACGTCTTGTTTCAGCTAGAAGAGTAGCAGGCACTTACTTGTAGGGAGAACACCCGCAGAGCAGGGATGGGGATGATAGCAGCAGCAAAGAAGGTGCACATGTTGCTCAGGGACGTGAGGAGGATGCTGAGACCTGTCCTTTTGAGCACGACGCCCGTCTGTTCCTGTTGAGATCAGACATTTCAGAAACTGAACACACGTAACAAAACAAAATTTCTGCTCTACTCGTTCATGGCTGTGTCACACTTACATCAGGCGAGTACTGACTGTGAGATCCCTCTTGCTCCGCATAAGTGTTCGTCATTAAGAACAAGTCGTCAACACCAAGGCCTAAGGCCAAGAATGGTACTATCTGCAACAGAGGGGAAATTGAAATATCATGTAACGAATGTCAGTTTTCTCATCAACGGAAAACTTACAATTACACTTAATTCTATAAAAGTCAGGGAATTTGACTAGCCAAGTGAATATTAGATTCCTAAGAAGGCCTTCCTTCATGGAACTGATTAATTAGCATGTCACACAGAACATCCATATTTGTCACAGAAAGTCTAAAGTGTATTTTGATACGCAGTAATAGTTCAATATCAATGTTATTCACTGGAAATGAGCAACTTTTCAGATCAGTGGTTCATGCAGACATACTTGTGTGGTAGAAGCATTGAAAGCAATGCCCAGCAAGGCACAAAAGCCAAGCCCAGCTGCAACTGTGATGGATACCAGCACAACTCCAGCAAGACCCACTGCAGCCTGTGAATGCACAGGGTCATGCCACCTCAGCAGTGAAACACCTGCATACACCAACTGTAACATGCACAGAGCCAACATCACTACCTTCTGTATGGAACACTCCAACCATGGTGCCTTATCATCTGTCTCCTTGCCATTACAAACTTCCATGAGCTGTCCAGTCAATGTTAAATCACCACAATGAAGCAGGAGAGTTCATGTTAGTTCACAAACCATTAATATAAGATTTGTTTTATTAATATTCTTCCATCCACATCTTGGTCTACCAAGAAATTTCTTTCCACCAGATATTCCAACAGAAAAAAATATATATTTGCTTTTGTTCTGCACAGTATAAGACTGGCCCATTTTCCATGCTATAATCACGCTTATTATAATTTCGGCTCACCTCAACCTGTTTGATACAACCACTTCCACATCGCAACGGAGCCAATATAGCATTCTCATTATGTACAGTAGAAGTAACTGTCTATGGGTTGGATTCCTGGCGGGAACATGGGTTTTACATTCCACATTGCACGTGTGGCCTACCCAACAGATTTTGCAGTGCTTTCCCTTGGAGTAAGGTGGCCAGAGCTTGAAACTGACCACTCATCTCAAGACATTGCTAGTACTAAGTACCTCCAATACTTAATGAACCACTTTATCTTCAATTACAGAATTAGTTGAGTGAACAAACTGTACAATTTATCATTATGAGGGTACAAATATTCCCTTCACAGTTTGCTTCCAAATGACCGTAAGCTTCATTCTTCCATTAAAGCGAACGACCAAGACTTTTCCCACAATAAGAAGACATGATCTAAAGCAATGATTTTTAAACTGCTATCTCACAACAATATCCAGTGAGCATAAACAAAGCTCATATAATCAGAGAAACAGAGTAATTAAACTTATTGCATAGGAATAGTGGATTTAAACTACAGAGGTACCAGTCAGTCTTTAATTTCAGGTTTAACAGATTAGTGGTATACTACTGTTACACATGGCCAGGTGGACTATATGTAAACCATGAAGCACAGTCAGTGAAGGTTAAAGAATTGATTATTAGAACCATTATCAAATCTAAATCAAGTGGAGGAACGGCTAAATTGCAAACATATAAAATTGCTGATCGGTATTAAATGAGCTGGTTGATGTAGCAAGATCTTGTATTTGGGCAGTGTCCAGTTTGAAGCTTTCCTCAGTCACCAAGTGAATATCAGGTTAAACCCAAATCCTTACCTACACACATTCAGAATCACCATTCAACCTCATTTCACAGTACATAACCTATGTATCTGAAACTGTATTGTTAAACAGACATTGCATTACTCACCATGACAATGTACCCAATAACAACTTTGACCACACTGAGCTCCGAGAACTGACTTAGGATATCATTTAGGGTTGCAGTTGAGAAGGCATACACTTTATAGGGTGATGTGCTGTTGTCACTTGTTAAATGTCGACGGACCTCCTGAAACAGGAAGGCATTTGCTCACTTCTTTGAATCAGACCATGTGTAAGAGAAGGCGCTCGGTGTGTACGGCAAAAGACATTCATGGGCTTCGGACTCAGCAAACAGAGGGACGGCATGTTTTACCTCCCAGGTGCTATAGTGACCTCTTTTTGAAAGAAATGCACACTTCACCTAAAGAAAAAGCTCAACCCAAAGACCAAACCTACTGGCGTGGCCATAACACTTAACATAAAGATGACCTCTGGAAATATTAACAGACTGCCGGCCAAGCGTAACATGTAAGATTATACGCCGCCAGCTGATTAAGAAGAGTAACATGTTCAGGTCAGTGAAGGATAATTTACGATGTAACATACCAGAAATTTACTATATTCCACGTGTGTGTGTTAGGGTGTATGTAGGCTAGACAGGGTACACCGTAATAGCCTAAAGCAAGAAACATGATGGCACTGAAGGAGAAACGTCATACGTGCACAGGTGGCTTCACCGTGTGCAATCTGTTACCCTGAATATTAACCCATTCATCTTGCCACAAGCATAAAGCAGAGTGATGAAGGATCATTTGAACATAACTGCTGAGAGCCCAATTGGAAATGAGAGTTTGTGCAAAGCGGCCACTTAGCTGTTGCATCGATGACCTCGTTGCTAAGCAATTCAATGAAGTGTGTTGAATATAATGTGTTTCATTTATTCAACTTCTGTTTGAAACAACTTTCATTCTAATAAATACAGCGTGTTCCTGAAATACACAGCAAGTTAGTGTTCTGGTTTGGGGTGGGGTGTCTAGAAAAAACTGGATCTTGGATGCTTTGTTTTCAAGCTACAACCTACAAGATCAAGTGACTTAAACCCACTAGATTCTTATTTTATGAGGCCATCATAAAAATGTTCTGTATACAGCATTTAATGATGTAGCAAAACTACAACAAAATGTACATGATGGTTGCAACGTGATTTACAATTTACCTTTCTTCTCCCAAAATAAAATAGGCCATAACCTGAAGATGAAGGGTCCACGGATCAACGTTTATACACACTTCTTTAATTGTTTCCATGCACAGAAGAGTTAAGTTAATAGGCACACTTTTGCGACTTTTTTTTGCAAACGCATCTAAAAACAAAACAAGTGAGGCTGCATGGCCAGGCAACTGATTGATTAACTGTTTAGAACAATCACAACGGAAACACGTGTAATGGTTGTGACAGTACCTCTGAAAACCGTCTTTGCCATGTTTCAAGGACTTGGGCCGCCTTCTCCTGTGTCCACTCCACGTGATGGACTTTGTACGTGTCGGACCAGAAGTCAAACATCTCCCGCTCTCCCATGAGTTGTATCACCGTCTGAAGAGCATGCGCTCTGTGTAAAAAACACTTTATCATAATCCAGTCTGACCTATTATGCCATAAATTGTCAGTCAGTGCTAGGGCACCATTAAGTAAGTACATATGCTGCAAAACGACTCAACTACCTCTGTATGTGTCCAGTCTTGTTACGAGTTGCTCCGCCCACCACCAAGTCTTCTGGCCAATGCATGTACTTGGCTGCAAATCCGTAGCAGCCGCCCGTAAGCTCCGCTCCAATGTCTGGTAACTGAAACAAGTCACTCACATAATCCTCCCCACTCTTGCAGGGCTACATTTAGCCTCATGAACAAGTTAGTCAAGGTACAGGATGGAAGCTCAAATTAATAAATCATTTGAGATTGTTAAGTAGGAACACAGCTTCCAAACTGAAATAAGGCTCATAACAAAATCTGAAGAATAATAAATATGGAAAAGTTTTGTTATTCAATTAAAAACAGTAATTATCCCTCCTGCTTTGGAAAAAGTAGAGATCATCACATGAATTCACACACAAACAATAATTGTGCCAGTTGTTATGCAATGATGTGAGAGATTCTGTTACTTTGAGGGAAGTGTTCAGGAAAGTATTTGGACCTAACATGGATAAATTATGCGACTTAAATTATCACGCACAAAACGGACAATTCATTACAAAACAAGAAACTTTTGGGGCATACAGGTAATCCAGAATAGTGCAGTTAAATCCAGAAAGTTAAGATATATTGGGCATACAACTCCAAAAAGCACAGAGGTCTGTGAGGAATGTGACCATTAGGAAGACCAAGAAAAGAGATGTGACAAAATCATAAAAATGAATCTTAAGATCACATATGATTTGAAGCTTTCATGGCAACAGAACGCAATGAAGTCTTTTCAGGCAATCAGCTATGTGATACTGAAATTAACGTCCCAAGATTCTGGAGACTATCACTGTCAGGGCAGATGACAGATGTAAGATTCACTTTAAAGCAATTATGAAAGCTCGCTGCTATCAAAAAAAACAATGCAAGGAAGGAGCAACAGCAGCTAGCGTCCATGACTGCAGAGATTGTGTGATGCCTGACTCAAAATCCACTGGCGTGCTCTCAGACGACAGCAGTTGCTGTCAAGTGTGAATATGAATGTAACAAGCAATAAAGAATAATATGGTTCCAAAAATGGGGGCAAGCTATACCCTGTCACATGCTGCAACAATGACAAGCTTGGACAACTACGCTATCAAAATCTGGAGTTTGCCCTTTCAATGGGTGGGTTCATAAGACAGAGGAAGACGAGAGAGAAAGACAGAAGGGAAGGGGGAAGCAACTAATGGGCCTGTGGCAAGATTTCTCCTTGCATCTCAAAACAAAATTTCGAGAGATTTCAGGTTCTCACTGCAGTGAGTATAAAGATGGCCACCTTCTGAAATGTTGTGACGTGTGATGACAGTGGAGGCAAAAAGCACCTCTGAAACGTCGACCAGTTTCTGCGAGACCACACGATGTGGCATCCCAAAGGAAAGTATCTTCAAAACAAGTTATTCTCCCAAGCCACCAGCAGTACAGAATGTGAGTCACTGGTTCTCCATCGATACTCAGAAAAAGCCAATGCAATTTTTGTGCAACCCTCACATTCGAAAATGGACCGGTTCTCGCCGGTAATATATATATAATGGTGTTGACACCCACCTGCCCAGACAACTTGTTGGGGGCGGTGGACGGACACTCGGGGTCGCTGGGGTCAAGACACGGCTTCTCTTGATAACCCGAACTTATCCCCGCCTGAAACAACACAACATTACAGCCTATCAGAAACAAAACAGTGGTTGTCGTGTCGGGCCTCAGCTCAGTAAGAATCAAATTCGGAGATGAAATGGAGAATCGGTGGTGTTGAACGGTGCGAGCAGAAAAGTAGGGCCTCGTTCTGGAAAAACAGACACTTAGTATGAGGTTGGTCTCCTGAAATGTAACGCCATGTAGACTCTTAAAGGGATACCAACGTTTCGGTAAAACATACAGAAAGATTATATAAAATCTACAGGAAAGTAAGTCCCCATTGCGTTACAATGCAGAAGACCAACATCAACATGATATTCTTTATTTCCATGGGGTTGCCTGGTGTCGTAAAGAACTTTCACATTCCCCAGTGAATCGTTCCGCCAGTGTAACCTAACCTAAAACACACCAGCAATATGGATGCGCAGTTCGTCAATGAATCGCTCCAAAGAGCATAGCAAAGATCTCACAGAAGGAGCGAGTCGTTAACCTTGTGAACGATCATCTGCATCACCTTCTTCCTTGCTGACGGAAGTCCAGTTACGTCACGTGCAACCCCCCCCCTCCCACCCGTAAACCGTGCGCTGTGCTCCTCTCGCCAAACAGATTTATTCCAGAGATTACTACTACTTATTCTTCTTCTAGTTGCTTTTCCTCAGTTGTAAGGCAAATGCCTAGGTATAATTGAAGAGGGCTATCCCCAAGTCGCAGGGGCCTTCAGCTGAAGCGACCCCACCCCCTCCGGGTTCAAACCACAAAGAACCAACCAACCAAATTCCTTTGCACAAAGGACAAGTTGCCTGATGGGATAACCTTTCATCGGCAGCGACAGACCCTAGTTTGAATGGTCGATGCTCCCGCCACGACAGAACCCCGTTAGCGTAAACAAATACCCGTTTTAGATACAAGGCTCTGTTTACCATTTCCAGCAATGCGTTTCGTACGCAGGAATCGTGTTACCTAGCAAGGAACGATGTATTGCGCTTGCGCAGGACTCGCCCTTAGTTTTTTGGTTAGTCTTCTTCCAATGGCTCTACAACCCTTTGGCGGACCTTGGCCTCCTTCCATGTGGGAGGTTACTAGATCCATATCTACCCGTACGCAGGACAGCACAACACAGAAAGACGCGGACAAACATCCATGCCTTGACAGGGATTCGAACCCGCTGCCCCAGTGTCCAAACTTCATACAACTCCTTCTATCGTCTGTCATTCAGGAGAACAGCTTTGCACTTGGCATGAACGCTGTGGGGAGAACACGTGGATTTAACTCTACAGTTTTAACGATGCGTTTAAACTGATAAATTTCTGGAAAAAGCTTTACCGCCATTGGATTTCCGCACTGTGAACGTCATAACTTTCCTCCTTCGTAACAAAGAGTGGGTCTTGCGCGAAACAATTTATTTACTACTCGTATTTGACGATGTTTACGGCCAGTCACAAATTAACGCAGCATCATTTTCCATGTTCTTTGTCACAATCTTCAGAAACGCACCTTCAGTGCCACGTTCCGACCGCTGTCAGATTAACCCATCACAAGACCTGAGAAAATGGGCGCGAAGCTGCACGGTTTGATGTTTGCACAGAGGATTGCAAGGTCTCAGCGTCCATAATTCCACGCTGAAGAACGCGTCACATAAATTACTGCGTGCACACACGCGCGAGAGGTGTGGCAGCCCCTAAGAACCCACATAGGCCACTACCATCTCCTTTCAGAAAACACAAACTTGACAATTATGAACATTTGTCCATCTCGTTCGCCATATAACGCGAAAAGATAAATAAAACAGCGTCATTAAGAACACGAGGGTCACAGACCCTTGGGAGGTCACTGAACTTACTTCGTACATCCCCCACCCCCCACCCCCCAATTCGTCTTCAATCTGGTCACTTACCCTCTTCAAGTAGTCTTCGAGCGTAGCGAAAGGGAACGCCAGGCTGAAGGACTTCATGTGCTGGATCAGCGTCTGAGGATTGAGGTTGGTCCAGCGCACCTTGGAGCCCACGCCTCTACATACAAGGGCACATCCGTCAGTAAGAAACAAGAAACATCAAGGGAAAAAAAGCCGTGGCGACTGCATCAGGAAGGTGTACTTACGGTATATTAACAGGATAATCAGGCCCCAGCAGCTTTGCCCCTTCCCAGAAGCAGTCCAGTGGCGTAATAATGGCACATGGAATTATATTTTCGAATATCTGGAAAAGAGATCAGTTAAGCTGAATAAACGCAAGATTTGTGGCTTTCTGGAAGGTCTGCAAAAAAAAATAAGTTCCAGTTCTTGAGAGATAACACCGATTTGCAGTAAGCTACTTCGACGACGTTTCGGGGTGTTTGCTTCTTCACACATTTCACTGTTTTCTGGCCAGCAAATATAAATTTTGGCACAGCAAGCATCATGTCTGAGATGTATTAAAACCCTTAAATTATACTTATATCCAATTTTTTTTTACATTTTTTCGAATCCTCAATTATTAATTTCTTATTAGAGAATCTCACACATTTTCTCTGTACCAAGAACTGAAGTCAGTAATTGGTCACTTGAGACAGTTTCTAGACGCGAGCACGAGCTATGCCTGTGTACCCGTGCAGAGGTGGGTGAGACCTATCGGCAGAACTGAGTGGAGCGATGTTCTGGAATCCTCGGACAGCGAGGATCAGTCGCTATGGAAGACAACAAAGAAAGAGGGTGATGCGAGGTCCCAATTCTCGCCGAAGGCCTGCAGTTGGTGAGAAGGTTAATGGGGCTCTGCATCCGACGATGTCCCCACGAGGCAACTGAAATTTAATCAGTCCCTCGGAAGTTCTGCATACCATCGGTCAGACACCGGGTCCGAGCCGTGTTCAAGACGTCCTAAGACACCTACCCTAACGCGCGATAACCCTTCTCACGAAACTGTTTGATGCGGTCCTCCACAGGCAGCAATCTCGATCGACGAAAGTGCCGGAATATGACGTTCAAAGCAGTCGACGACCGCTAGCTTTATCGCAGCTCCCGTGAGCTCATCTCACTTTGCTCTGGATGCTGTGCACTCGAACACGGGCGTTCAATTAACAACTTACATCACTCTCAGTTAATATTGGTCTACCATGTTCCATCCCCCCCCCCAAAAAAAGAAAAATGTTTTGGCTGACAAAGTTCCTTTAAAATCATTCAGTATCAAGCCACGGTGGTCTAGCGGTTAGAACGCTGGCCTTGTAATCCTGGGGTCTCGGGTTCGATTCCCGGCGGTGCCCGAATTTATAACTTGTGTTGGGCAAGGCCGTGGTCTAGGCAACACGGAGTTTTCCTCCGTGGCATCCCAACAATTACTCCACTCACACACAGAAGAAGGCAATGGCAAACCACTTCTGGATCATCTGCCAAGAACGTATATGAACAGGTCCCAGTCCGAGAAAAGGATGGAAGGATCCTGTTCACATGGACCTGTCGTCAGACAGAACACTAAATAAAATAAATCATTATCATGACACTCATACTTACTTGGTCTATGTAATGTACATCGAAGTTTGGAATACCGGGCGAATAACACATGTCCTTCAGTCTCCAAGTTCTGAAACAAATTAAGAAACAACAATTCTCACTGGAATGCCACAAGGAAGGGTCTGCGAAATAAACACAGCGTAACCCCCCCCCCCCAACATATTTCCCTGAGACCCACTTCAATATTATGCACGCATCGGCGCCAAACTTCGAACGCGGTCTCTTCCTTCGTCTCTCGTTTCCCATGCACGCTACATGCACAGTCCATCACATTATCTTTGACCTGATAATCCTAATGACATCTGAGGAAGATCACGAACTGTGATCTTCCTCATTCTGCAATATCGCCAGCTACCCCTCCACTCCCTTCGCTTCGCCCCTCTCAGGACCAAATATTCTCCATCCTCAAAAGCAATGAATGCATGTCCTGTGTGTCTAAATTGCTCCAAAGCGTGAACCTGCGACTTGTGACCTGAACCACGAAGACATTTTAAAATTCTTGTTTGTTTACTTTTCCTCCCTAGACAGTTCTGGAGCGCAAACATTTCTGGCCTAATGACGGTCTCTCTGATCCGCCCACAAACTGCGACTGTTTCCGCGAGTCCGGGGTTTACTTGGCTTGTCTGCATTTCGTCAAGGACTCTCGATTGGAAAACTATCGACTTTTTGCAACGGGAGAATCGGGAAACCTGTCCCTGAACTATTTCTGGCGAGCTAAGTACGAAATGCGAAAAGTACATCCTTGCACATCGGCTGCCGAAAGACATCTGACGGATTGTTTGATGGAAATCGATTCATCCGGTGGTCGACACACAACCATTAGCTTCTAAAATGTCTCCGGCTCGTGGAGTTAGTTATCAAGACAAAGTCCCGGTAGATACTTTTAATCCCGGTCAGGGTATTTAAGGAGTCCTGGTTGGTTCGTTCGTGAGCTGGGAAACGTTTCCCCCCCTGCTCCAAAAACATGGGGGGGGGAGGCGTTCCCCCGCGGGTGACGGCGACCTGACAGCAGCAGAGCTCACGACTTCGCAGACCCGTTGATATGAACGGCGTACCGCTTTCTAGGAATCAGCGGCACACCAGTGCCATTAGTGCACGTGGCTGCCGAGCGTAAGAGACCACTCACATGTCGAAGAGCTGCACCGTTACGCTCGCGGCTGCCTTGACGACGTCCAGGTGCGACAAAAGGGCTGCAGGGTGCAGGAGCGAAGCCTGCGGGTGGCGCGGCGTCTGTATGACGAGCTGGTGCGTGCTGGAGTCCGCCTCGCCCAGAGCCGCCCGGGTGTACTGCAGCTCGCGCGCCAGGCGTCCTCCCTCTGCAGAACACAGAATCACGATAGAAGTCAAGTCAAGTTATGTCAGGGCCCACGAGTGGGGGTTTCGACAGCGTCAGTGAGGCATTCTTTGTGGCACAACAAACTCAGCATGGAGATAAATTTATTCTGTGCGGAACCTTTTGGGTAATATGGCGCCACAGTCTCCCGTCTCTGCACAGTGATGGGACCTAAGGGAAAATTATCAAAATACAAAGTAAGGAGGCCAACATGGCCACCAACAGCGATAGTTGACAAGCTTTTCATTTGGCGTTTCTTTTTTGTTTCGATTCTTCAAGGTTTTTGTTGATAAATACGCACTTACGTTTGTTTATACGTAATCTCCTTTACCAAAGACACAGTACATAAAGCGAGCTTTCAAGTGATGTAACAGTTTTTGCGGCACCCTGTGTGATGGATAATACAGTGCGTCCCAAAAATATGTATCCGCAGCAGCAAGTTTGGTGGCCGCTTTTGTCAGTCATTTGTTCGCCGCTGTCAGCTGTGCGCCTCGAAGCTAACTAACAGTGGTCATTTCGAACACCTGCAAACCAGATTCGCTAATTCACGGAGTACCAATGCTCACGCGTGTTAATTGTTTCGTTTATCAAAATGTCTTCGTTCCATCCATTGAATGTGTGCATACAGATTTTTGACACGCCTATAATTGTAGGGTTAGCTCAATATGGCGGTGCTAGTTACGTGGATCTCATCGCACGCACGGTTTAAACACAAAAAGATTGGAGTTGCATAATGCCATCTTCTCCACTGACATGAGAAATGCAGAAACACAGTTTGGCCGGGAACAGACTACGTTCATGTTAAAAGAACACAATGCGACTTCGTGGATTGGCTTGAACTGGCTCGAGAAAGGGCCCAGAAGCGAGATTTTTTTAAACACGGCAACAAATCTTCAGGTTCCATAAAAGTCGGGCATCTATTGGCACGCTTTCCTACTGTCAGCTTCTCAAAGAGGAGGCGTGCGAGCATCAAGCACGCTCCACAAGGCTCGCAAGCGCCTCTAACGGAAGCTGCTGAACGAGCAGTCGCCCGTCCAGCTTCTGTGTATGTCAAGGCGACCGCGCGGAATGTAGGTTATTGGACGCGGCCCGTACGTCAAACGCGGTCGACATTCCGGGTATCCGCGGGCGTGTCCGAGTGTTGTGACCAGACGACACACGCCTGTTGCAGTTTCCGTGTTTCAACATCCACGATTTATCAGACAGACGGAACTTGTCCTGACAAGAACTTCGGCGCTCCAAATGCGTGTTCGTGAGGTCGTGGGTCCGAACGCGTCTCGACACCATCACGTGTGTCCGTGGCTTTCTTCAGTCTCTCCAGAAAAACGCGAGAGTTTAATTGTAAGACGACCGCATTCACGGATTGCAAAATATCATCATTCTGCTTGACGCGACGCAAGAAATCGAAAAGCGTCGTTAAATAACAAATTTTGTGGACTTAAGAGGGAGGATATTGTTCAATGAGGATCTTCGTAACTCGTTCTCTTTATCAAATACAATTTGGGGAATTAAGTAAAGTTTTTGGGATGGGCTACACTCGTAGAACGGCTAAGACATTATTCGGTCCGCGCTGAAGCATAATATCCTTGTTGATGGTAAAATAGAACCTATGAACCGCTGGAGAGAGCGTATTGAAAAGTAAGGAGAATATGAGAAAACTGATGAGAGTGCAAGCGTTTGGAACAAGTAGATTATAATTGCAAAGAATAATTGCTCTGCGAACATCCATCTACCCTACCCGCTCCGAGGGATTTGTGTCTCACGGACACGAACAGAACTCTCGGTTCTAGCTAATAATTCAAGGATCGTGTGTTCACTTCGGCTTCGAAATTAAGTTTCTTTGTACCGGGTACGAAAATAAAAACGTCAGTGAGCCTTTTACAGCCGTTCTTCGCGCGGAGAGTACACAGAACGCAGCCCAACGACGAAAAGTCCACAACGGCGTAACAGCGTCACAACCGACCCCTTGAAGTTCGCATGGCTTCTAGCCGGCGCCTCAGTCCAGAGGGCAGAAGCTGTGTAACGTCTCACGAACATTAAAAATCTTCTCATCGAGACGAGGAAGTGCGGAACTGGTAACAAAAATTTCCGGACACAAAAGTTCGACCGCGGCAAGTCCTCAGCGAACGGTAAAATGTGCGAACTCACGCAGGGCCGCAAGAGTTCAGTTGGTTTTGTAGTTTTCGGCGGGAAAGGGTCAGGGTTGCATTTTGAAAGAGGGCGTTCTGTATGATGACCGAATAATGGGAACTTCCTTTTGGGTTCTTCTCAAAAACTACCCCGACAAAATGCCGATGGCATTCGGCACGGAGTTACGTATCCAAACGTCTTCAAGGCGATCACGAAGCGCTCGTCCCCTTGTACGAGGTGCGATCGGAAAGTTTCTAGACTGCGCCTATAAAAAACCCCGTACACTTATCTCAGGTATTAAATTCATCCATCACCCTCGAAGTAGTTCCCCTGGGAGTGAACACAACGATCCCAGCGCCACTGCCAAGCCTGGAAGCATCCCTGGAAATCTTTCTTTGTCAGCCTGTCAAGCACCATCTGCGATTCTGCCTGAATCTCTTCTATCGTCTCAAATCTCCTTCCCTTGAGCTGAATTTTCATCTTTGGGAAGAGGAAGAAGTCACACGGAGCTTAGAAAGGAAGCTGGGGTCGGTTCTTGCAAGATCTTTCAGCTCCTGACAAACGAGAAGTCGATTCTGCTTCTAGTCCTCTGACAGGATGCGTCGCATGTGGAGTTCTTCCTTTAGAATCAGCTAACAGGTCCCATAGCCTATCCCAACAATGTCGCACAAATCGTTGATGGTACGACGTCGATCTTCGTAACATTTTCGGGCGTTGTGCCCGAAGATGGTCGTCCAGAACGCTCGTCATCATCGACAGAGGTTCGGCCATTTTTAAAACGTGAATGCCACACAAAAGTTTGTGCACGACCCATTGCCTCCCCCCCTAGCGGCAGAAGCTCGTACTACATCCGGTTCGCCCTCTATTGACACAGTCTTGAAACTTTCCGATCGCACCTCGTACTCTCATTCTTCTAAGAACATCGGCGTCCTCTACGTTCTACGTGTACTGAAATTAACAAATCAATTTTTTTGATTCAAATCCGTGTCGTTTCATTTCGACCCTCGCGACACGTGCAAGGCGCTACGGCCTGTCCACGTGTCCCACAACCAGAAACCGATCGCGACGGTTTGTGGTCTTCGCTTGACTTGACGAACTGAACCTGCGCGTTTCAGGTCGAGGATTCTTTCCCTCGTCGCGACCACAGATACTGGGACCCGCGTGTCAGCAGTGCAGGAACGTCGCTGACATGCATCTTGTGTTTTCTCCTGGCACTACGATCTCACGCAAAAGACCTGAGTCACTTTCTGACTGCAACTGCTTGCCCTGATCCAATTCTGTCGTTTTCTTCCTGAAGATGTGTACAAGAAAGTTCTCCGAAACGCTGTCAACAGCCGACTAGTCCTCACGGCGCCGAAACCCAGAAGAACATCATCACTGGAGCTGGAATACGTCGAACGTTTTTAAATTGCCTGCAACTTGCGATGTTTGTGCACGTTCCTTGCTATTTGTAATTTTTTTTTGTATGGACGTACGAGAGCGTGCGTCCGCCTCCTTCCCCCCGAATCTGCGGCGTTGCCACTTGTGGTGTGCGCCGTGT